CTGTCATCACAGGAGACTAGAGCGAGGGCTGCATGGTGGAGGGGACCTGGGGGAGTGTTTGTAAAACAATGAAAGAATCTTTTCTTTTACTTTTCCATAAAAAAAAAAAATAAATAAAAGCTGACCTCTCCCTCAAAAAAAAAAAAACAAACAATGTTTTTTAGTAAGAACGTGAATTCTAAGGGTGAAGTCATATATTAAAGGCTTAATTTATATAGTAAGTAAAATATGTTTGTTTTGTTTCTTTAGGAAAGGATATTTAGCTATGAATAGTAGATACTTTCCTTTAATTTTCAGTACTTGACACATCTTTATCTTCTGTTTTCTTAAAAGACAGTTTGAGAGAAATGTCTGTAAAAAGAATATTCTGTGGATTAAAAGCTTGACACATGAGCTCTGGTGACTTAGTGGTAAGGAATTGTGCTTCCATCCTGAAGGCACGAAGTCTGAATCCACTACAAGGTGGGCTTTTATATGAGACTTCCTCAGCTTTCTCCTGTGCATTTAGCTGCCTCTGGAAACCCTTTGGAGGGTCAGCTGTGAATGAGTCATTTCTGACTTGATAGTATACCACCACCACCACCACCACCACCACCACCACCACCACCGCCATACTATCATAAAACCAGCTTCTTGTTTCCTCCTTCAGATTAGTCTTTCCTACCCTCTGAATGTTATCTCTGGTCAAATTCTGTTATCCTTTTAATCTTGCATAATTGCTCTGAGAAGTGAGTTCTTGCTGGTGTGATTGCTCACCTTATAAGCCTGTCTAGATTGGCTGAAAATCGAGCCAGATGGTGAATTTAGTAGGCTCAGAGGTGACTAAGGGCTGTCATCTTGAAGCTTCTACCAGTGTTATTAGACCAGCAAGCCTCTGTTTTTATGTTTTTAAGTTTGTTCCTCAGTTTTTTCCATCTCTGCCCAGGACCCTCTACCGTGATCATTTTCGAGAGCCTCATCAGTGGTATCTGTGGTATCAGCAGGCCTCATGGCTGCAAACGTTGGGAATTAGTTTTTTTTTTGTTTTATAATGAGAAGTTTCATTAATTTAAGTAGAAGAAAAATTTGCTGAAAATTATCAACTGATGGAAGCTATGGAGTAGTAAATCAGGCTTTCTAAATTGCTACAGATAAAAGAGACTGGATAGAGTTTCATTTAAAATCGTGCTGTTGAACACTGGATACCACTTCCATTTTCACTTTAAGAATGAATTCCAAATGGCCCTTTAAAAAAGAACTGGATGAGAGGGTGAGCCAGGTGTTGCCTTTTTAGCTAACAAGAGTTCTTGGACTCTTCCCTGATCTTTTGGTTTGTTTAATGTTTAAGT